ACGCCCCTTTTTAAACCGGTTGAACATTTTTCTGAAGGTCAAGTGTATAGTGACGGGATTCAGCTCACGTCTCTTTTCTCGTACACACACACCCCTTGAAGATGGGGGATCGTGCTCGGAAATCAGTCTGTGCTACTCAATCAGGCCACTTTTCAGTACACCTGGGCCGCCCTGAGGGCTCCCAGCAGGTGGCAGCAGCAGAAGGCGGTTGTGGGCACCCATCTTGCAGCCAGAACTTGGTGAGGGAGCGAGAGGGGCGGGGCTGGGGGGGTGGCGTGGCGCAGACCCAAGTGCAAGGCTCATCCTCTGGGGGAATGGTCAGCACAGGCAGGTGTGGCCCCAGAATGAAGGCTGATGGGTCAGCGTGTCCCACCCACTGAACCTTGCTGAGACTGAACAGGGGCGAGGGGGATACACAGGGCTGGCAGTGATGCAGGCATTTGGAAAGGGCACCAAACTCAGAGCCTGGCACTTACTTCTCTGTGAAGTCTTCTGTGACCTGGGGCAAGTTTCTTACTCTGAACATTTGCAGAAGAGAAAGTCCATTAAAAGTAAAATGTATTTAAAAAAAAAAAAGATGAATTCTTGCCATTTGCAATAACATGGATAGACCTGGAAGGGATTATGCTAAGTGAAATAAGTCAGAAGGACAAGGACAAATACTGGGTGATGTTATTTTTGTGTGGAATATAGTGAAACAAAGCAAAGGGTCAGACAAAATCAACCAATACCAAAATACCAAACCCTAGATATCTGACTGTGGACTTGAGACAGCAAGACAGGGAGTGGGGAGAAGGGGAACAGATGGAAGGGGGTCCAGTGGACTAAGATGGGGGCAGTGGATGCCCTGTGGAGGGCGTAGTGACATGCATCTAAGGAGGTGTAATCCTATGCCTTTGAGTGAAATCCAGTGATTATTATAAACCAATTATTACCTCAATAAAAAAGGATAAGAAAAATGTATTTATTTCTTTTGAGCCATGTATGAATTATCACCTCGCACCCTAGAATGTTAGAGATGAAGCACAACTAAAATGTTATCATTTAGTCCAACCTCTTAATTGTATAAACAGGGCCCAAAAAAGTCAAGTGACTCATGCCAAAGCCACCTAGCCACCAAGCTGAAAAGCCACAGCCTCCCAGTCCACACAGGTCCTCAGCATATGAGGCTAGTTACTCTGAATTAAAATGAGTAAGAAGTAAACATCAGAGCCTCCCTGGTGGCACAGGGGTTAAGTCTCAGCACTATGAGGCTATCCGCAGCCACTGCAGCACAAGTTCCATTCCCAGCCAGGAGCTGACCGCAGGGTGCAGCAGACCTCTCCTGTCTCGCCCGCTGCTCCCTTCAGCAGTGTATTTCAGTCGATCTGCCTGTTCTGCTCCCCACTCTGTCTCTAGTGAATCCTCTTATACCCCCACCCTGCACCTCTGGCCTGTACCCCAGGTCTTGTATGTATAAATAAATAAATTTTTAAAAAAGCAAATGTGAAAATTCAGTCCCTTGGTCACAACAGTCACATTTTAAGTGCTTGTAGCAACACATGATGAGTGGCCACTGTAGTGGACAGCATAGGTCTAGAACTTTCCATCATCACAGAGTTCTACTGGACAGCCCCATCTGGAGGTCAGAACTCAGAACTTCAGTCTGTAGGCCCCACATTCCATCCCCTACTTCTGAACCACCAGGCTTCCTATATGAAATACATCAAGATTCAGCAAATCTGTGGGGCAGGAGAAGGCCAGGCCTCCCAGGCCTCGGTCATAAGCATTCCACACTGCATTTACAGATCCCATTAAAACTGGCCCACCACTTAGGAAATGATCCATGAAGTCTTGCTTATCAGAGCCAAGTGGATTTCTTTTGTTGGTAAAATGAGAAGATAGAAAGGTTTGTTGTTGGGTTTTTTGGTTTTGTGGTATGCTTCTATTTAAATGACTTGAGAACAAACTATGTTTCATAAAACAGGCCAACTCTGATGTGCTCTGAACTGATACATTTCCATTTCTTTTAAAAAGCATGTAGTCAGTGATCCATGATGCCCCCCTTCAGAAAAGCGTGCCCCATCCTCACAAACAGCCTGAGGCTCTGAATGTTTCATCTGTTCACGGGGAGAGAAGCCCTTGGAAGCTTCTACATAGGATGGCACAGTTGGAATCGGGTGGAGCCTGGTCTGGTGGAGCCAGGGCTGACTTGGCCAAGCCCATCCAGCCTGCATGACAGAGAATACCTCCCTCCAACAAAGCACACGCTATCTAGAAGTCCTCATCCCATCCCAGTGGTTCTTAACATTTTGTCGATCACAGACCCCATGGGTTTTCTCTGTGGAGACACACACACGGATGCGCACATTCACACTCTGTACCACCGCAGATCATTGCTGGCTTTGAAGATGGAAGGCACCAAAGCCAAGGGAGGCAGGCAGCCTCTAGAAGCTGGAAAGGACAAACATCATTCCCTGGAGCTTCCAGAAAGGAACGCAGCCCTACAAACACCTTGATTTTAGCCCAAAAAGACCTAGGCCAGATTTCTGACCTCCAGAAGTAGAACACTTTTAAGCTAATAATTTGTGTGGTGCTTCATAACAGCAGCCATAAGAAGCAACGGACACACTGAAACACAACTTCCTAAAAATGAGAAGAAAACTGTGGCTGCAAAGTCAAGCTATTGCCCTCAGTATTCACCGGCATGAGCTGCCCCAGGCTGGGGGGGCGAGGGCCACAATCACAATGGCAACAGCCACAGAAGATGCTCTCCCGCCAGGGCAGAGAGGACAGGTGCCCCAATCTGTCGCTCACCCCTCCCAGGACCAGACAGCACCGAAGCAGTATGACCTTCAAAATCAGAGGCCAGCAACATGTGTGATACTATAAAATCACAGCAAAGAATTTTCAGAAACCACATTAATAGCATTTTGAGGTCAACAGTTAACAACTAAGACCTCGGGTTAGGTTCAACCATCCATTCCTGCTCAAGGGTGAGCCCCATACTGGATCCAGCCTTCACCCCTGAGGTGCTAGCAGAGCCTAAGGGCCCTCGGGCCTGTTGAAAGCCTGGCTGGGGAGACACAGCAGCTTTATGGTAGGAGACAGCAGAGCTGAACCTCAGAGCCCAGCTTTCTCCCACACCGGTAGTGGTTGTACAATCTGTCTCCTTTTCTTCACCAGCAGGTTTCAGGAGGCAGGGGGAGGGGATGTGTGTGAGTGTGTAGACATGTGTGTGGCTGGTTGGGGTGATTTTAAGTAGCAAGTGTATGGAAGCGTTTTTGTTCTGACACATTCTTCATAATAAGCCTGAGTGACGGTGTCCGTGTGTAACCCACAGGCGGAGCACAACTCTGGGAGACAGAGCAGTGGGACTAAACGGATTTGCCCAGGATGTACCATGGCCATGTGCAAATAGAGGATGTGGTTCAAGTTTGAATTCCAAGAAACCACAGAAGACTTTCACCAAAAGTAAAACCCTCCACCACCACCCAATCTTACCAGTTTCTGAAAACTATCTGGTCCCCCAATGAGGTTGGTGATACTTTGCTGTCACCTTCTTACCCTACAGCCATCCTGCTCTGCTGACCTGGAGTCGCAGAACTCCTACAATCTCAGTCTAGAAAGGCCTTCAATTTGAGCCACATTCTCTTATGTTCAAAGCCTACTTTCAATTGATGCAACAGGAGAGGTGACTCGTCCAGCTCAGACAGAGGCCAGGCCCCATCTCACAACCCTCAGACTGTCTCTCCAGCACCCTGAGAATCTATTGAATGGAATTTCATAGATTGGCGAATTTAGACCCTTCAAGGGGCCATGTGCAATGTAAGAATGTGGTAGATACCCGGGGACCAGCCTCTCCGCCCCAGGGAAAGCAGCTCCATGGCATGTTGATAGAATCAAGGGCAGGGAGACTGGGCTGGCTGAACTGTGAATGAATGCTCAATACACACCACAGGCTGTGTAGGGACAGTCCCCAAGACTGGGCCGTCGCGGGTGGATCCCTTCCAAATGTCTCTCCTGCAAGGCCAAATCCAAAGGATCCCGAATCCCCAGGGAAAACCACAGCAAAGAATGCCCTGATGACACAGTCAAGCACTAACATAGCTCAGCTTTTCCTGAGGTCCTGGGCTCAGCGTCTGAAAAGGGAAGGCGTGTGTTTACAGCTGTGAGGGACCTGTTTCCTATGGCCCTGCCCTCTGCGCTGATGTAACGAAGCCAGGTGGCACCATAATCCGCTTGTCAGAAGAAGCCTCCGTTTCGCCCAGCCGGTGTCTGGGTGAAGCTGCCGGGGGTCTCTCCCAGTGGAACTTAGCCACGCCAGGAAAAACAACAAGGCAGGGCATGATGCCCGCATCACCAAACAACACAAAATGCCATTACACAAATTTAACCCTCGTGTCTGCCGCTCAGGGTTGGCAGCACACTTCTCACGCCTGCTGGGGAACCACAGCACCAACACCTGCTGGTGCACCCCACGGCTCCCGCGGAGGTGGCCAGTGCAGCGCAAGCACATTTACTCACCTGATCCTCATACCTTGAGGGAGTGGAAGACCTGAGAAATTTACTTTTTACTGGGCTGAGTCACCGAAGAAGAAACTGGAGATGCTACAGCTTTCCCAGGGTCGGGCAGCTGGTCAAGGACAGACATGAAGTCACATCTACCAAGGCCAACCCTGAGCTCCTCCCAACTCCCCACTGCCTTCCTCAGAAGACAGCTGTCTCTCCGGGTTAATACAATAATAGCTACCACTTGTTGAAACCCCATCAGACATTTTCAAGGCATCTGTGCAGCCCGACTCTTGTGACACTTTCTAGGGAGGTTTTGTGCCAACGTTACAGCTACAGAAAGAGAAGCTCAGAGAGGTTAAGTGCCTTACTTAAGGCCACACAGCTACTAGAGGTGGAAAGAGGATTCAGAGCCCCATTCATTGGTCCCAAAGCTCCTTGGACCAAGCCATCAAGAAGAGGGGCAGCTCCCCGGGCCCCTCCCGCCCTGTGGCTACAGGCCAAGCTACCTCATTGCCACGTTGCTGCCGTCGATCACTATGGGTCGCAGGAGACTGGCCGGGTTTCCACACTCCTCTTCCAGGTCCATCCTCAGCCTGTGCTGGGCAGAGTCCAGGGTTCCACAGGAGCCCCTGGGAACAAGCAGGGGCACGGTGCTGGCCTCGCGAGGCCCGTGGCGGCTGCCCATCTGGATCAGCTCCTGCAGTATGTCATTGACCAGGGCGCCCTCACCCAGCTTGTCCAGCACCCTGACCACGTCCTCCCTGCTGTAGCCCAGCTTCTGGAAAAACTCCATCTTGTTCGAGCGCTCCATTGTCCCGGCGAGGATTCCGTCCCTGATTCCGTCCCTGATGCCTCCGAGCAGAGCCCCAGGAGTGTGAGCTACAGAGAAAAAGCATCCATCAGGTGTCTTCTGGCAGCCTGGCCCAAGGCCGTGGGGTCACAGAGGGGGCAAATGATGCACCCTCCCTCCCCAGCCTCTGTCAGGAAATCATGCTGAGGCCTGGTCCCCTTGGGGATTTTCAGTTGCTCGGTGTGGTTGAGGAGCCACAGATGCAATCACATGGCCTTTACTAGTGAGCGCTCCAGGAGCTTCACCCCACACATGTGCTCCCGCGGGGACCACTGGCCAGAGGCACCAAAGGCTGCCAAGCAGACCACCCAGAGCTGGGGACATTTGTACCCAAGCCAAGGAAAAGTCTCAGAACATCTGTTAAGGGCTGAACTGTGTCCCCCTTAACTGGAATGCTGAAGCCCTCACCCCAGCGTCTCAGAGTAGGACTGTACTTGGAGGTAGGGACTATAAAGAGGTGCTCAAGTTAAAGTGGGGTCTATAGAGTGCACCCTAATCAGTATGACTGGTGTCCTTATAGGAAGAGGAAATCTGGGCAGACACAGAGGGATGCCCAAGGGAGACGGGGGTGGGGGGGTGGTAAGAGAAGATGGCATCTTCAAGCCAAGGAGCAAACGCAGCAAAAATCAACCCTGCCCATACGATGATCTCTGGCTTTCAGCCACCATCTCCATGAGGCAATGATGATAAATAATAATAATAGTAATAATTATAATATTTAACAATAAAAAGCACCAAGCCTGCGGCATTTTGTGTTGTTTTTTTTTTAAAGATTTATTTATTTATACAAGAACCAGGGTATAGGCCAGATGCACGGGAGGGTGAGAGGATTCACCAGAGACAGAGTGGGGAGCAGAATAGGCTGACTGACAAAATACACTGCTGAGGGAGCAGCGGGCAAGATAGGAGAGGCCTGCCCTGCCATAGGGTCATCTCTGCGGCCGGCAGGGATCGAACCGGAGCTGCAGAGGCTGCGGACAGCTTCACAGTGCTGCGCTCAACCACCTGCGCCACCAGGGAGGCCCGCCTGCGGCATTTTGTTATAGCATCCCTAGCAAACTAACACAGGCATCCCACTCAGTTTAAATAGGCAAGCATGGCATGTGAATTCCATCCCCAGAAATGCCACACTCACCCAGTCAGCTCTGTGCGCTGGCACAGCTTTCCCTGGCAATGAATTTGCTCTATACTGAACCTGTGAAATAGAAGGCCCTGATGCTCCCCATCCCGGGCATAACTGCCTGGCCTATACCACTGGGTGTAGGGGCTGGGGGTAGGGCTGCGGCCTGACAGGTATTTCCAAAAAGAAGAGAGTTGTTAAATCAATAGGAATCCTCTGGACACACAGGGCCCTCTCTTTTCTACTCCCAAGTCATTTTCAGATAATAATACCATAATCATGGCATTTACTGTGAAACACCAAAATATTGCAGAAGCACAAAGAATAAAAAGATGTATCTCAGGGCCTCCCTGGTGACACAAGGGGTTAAGCAGAGCACTATGAAGCTATCCGCAGGCACTGCAGCACGAGTTCGAGCCCTGGCCAGGAAGGTGACCCACATGGCGCAGCAGACCTCTCCTGCCTCACCCGCTGCTCCCTTCAGCAGTGTATTTCAGTCAGTCTGCCTGTTCTGCTCCCCACTCTGTCTCTGGTGAATCTTCTCACCCACCACACCTCTGGCCTGTACCCCAGTTCTTGTATGCATAAATAAAAATAAATCTTTAAAAAAAAAAAAAAGATATGTCTCTTCACACACACCCAAGCCCCACTGGCTTCCTGGCTACCTCTTGGCTTACATCCCTCCAAAGCTCCTTCTAGGCACTAACTTGCCTATGGAACAGATACACTCATCTATTGGTTGCAGGGGGTTCTTTTTATTGAAATTGTATCATAGTGGGGCCTCCCCGGTGGCGCAGCGGTTGAGCGCTGGGTTGCGAAGCTGCCCGCGGCCTCTGCGGCGCCGGTTCGATCCCCGGCTGCTCCCCGGCCACTGGAGGAGGGTCCCACATGGCGCGCAGACCTCTCCTGCCGCCCGCTGCTCCCCTCAGCAGTGTACTTCGGTCCTTCTGTCTGCTCTGCTCCCCGCTCTGGCTCTGGTGAATTCTCTCACCCTCCCGCGCTTCTGACTGTACCCAGTGCTTGTATAAACAAAACAAACAAACAAACCAGCAAACAAATAAATAAAGCATGCCTCTATCAAAAAAAAAAAAAAAAGAAAAATGAAATTGTATCATAGTGTAGGCTTTGCTTTTCTCATCTAAAATGCATTTTGGAACTCTTCCCACGCCAGCTTATCTCTTCTGCTGCCCACCATACCCCGGGCACTGAGAATGGTGCCTGGAATGGCTAAATCTCAACAAATGCATAGCTACTGAATGGATGAGTGAATGAATGGATGGCGTAAAGCCAATGCCCAAACGACGGGCATGTAGATAGTCTGCCATTTTTCGCTGTTACAACCCATTCCCCATGAGCATCTCTCTGTTCACCCCATCCTCCTCTCAGCTCACAGTCCTTCATCCCCCTTCTCGGCTCCCATGGGGGCCCTCGGCAGCATTCATACCTTCCTTTTGGCTCCCCACTCTCTTGCAGACCCTCTCCCTGCAGTGCAGGAGCCCAAACAGTGACCGGCTCCGGCCAGTGACAGGCACTTCTCAGTCAACCTCGAGGACAGAGTGGCCTCTCGTCCTCCCCCTTGCCACCGCCTGCTCCATCATGGTCCCACTCTGGCCACTGAAACACCAATCGCCCCTCCAAGACCACCAGTGACCGTCTAGCCACCAACGCCAAGAGCAACTGCACATCCCCCACCTCATGCAATCTCTCGGGCACTTTGGACTTATTTTCAATAGACGTTGGCACTGCCTCCTCCTGGAAACGTGCTTGGAGAAGCACGTTTGTGCTTCTGGACCCGAGTCTCCTCCTAAGGCTCTCTGCTCTCTCTTTAGCCTCCGAGGACTTGTTTGAGGAGGGAATCATGCCAGGACTCCCTTCTCTCCCCCTGCAGTTCCTCACCGGGCCCACACCCATGAGCCCACAGCTGCACGACCTCTGACTAAGCCCCAGGCAGACATGGTTCTAAGTCTGTGAGGTAAGCGCTGTGCGTGCAATTTGAACAGAGAGCTGTGGAAAGTCAGAACGCTGCCCTTCACCTCAGATCTGCTGAGGCAACTGCAGCGGTTCTCAAAGCGTGGTCCCAGGAAACCTGGAGGAATCCAGGACACTTTCAGGGAGTCTGTAAGGTAAGAGTGGTGTTCATAATAGTGCTAAGGTGTCATCTGCTTTCTGTCACCCGCCTCCTTTCATGAGTCTCCAGGGACATGTTCCGGAGGTTGTGGAAATGCAACAGTTGGATGCAGAAGAAGATATGAGAATCCACCCAGACACCAAATTGGTGCCAGTCATCTTACTAATTTTTTACCTGCCTGAATCTCTCCTTGATCCCCAAGCATTCCAGAACATTCTCATATGCGCCTACATATGCTTTCCTCTCTCCTTGAAATGCTCTTTTTGGCTTGGCAAACTTCCAGGCTCATGGTCATGCACCTCTAGTCCAGCCTCACCTTACTCTCCTTGCCCAGTGGCCAGCCCTCCCTCGGGATGCTTGTCCAGGGGCTGGGGTCCAGCCTTGGTCTAATCTCCATGGGGAAAGTGGACACTCAGCCCAGCAGGCCAGCCTCACGCCAGGACTTGCTCACTGCCCCTGAAAGACCCTGGTCGCTCAGGCCCACGCCTGGCCCCACCCCGCAGTCCTAACCCCACTGTCACGTCCTCTGGGAAGCCTTCCTGGTACTGAGAGCCCAGCTACACACCCCCCTCCGAACCCCCCCCCCCAACTACGTATCTAGCACCCAGTTTGGTTTGGCAGAAAGAGAGAGTGGGAGAAAGAAAGAGGAGGGGACTGAAGGGAGGGAGAAGGACAGAGCAGGAAGGCAGCAGCGGGAGCGTGGAAGTGCGCGTCACGCAGTCCTTCCTTGGTGCCGGCCACTCCGCGGAGAGAGGCTTCCTCCGTGTCCCACCACGCTGGGCGGGAAGACAGGCAAGAGAACCGTCTCCCCTTGGCATAGACAGAGAAGCAGAGCGCAGGTTACAAACCAGCGAATGGCAGAGATTAGGCATAAGTAGGTGCCGAAAAGAGTGGGCTGCTTCTCGTGGCGTTCAGAGCCGAGGCAACATCTTGTCTTTGCACCCATGGGAAACACCCACACGGCCGGGTCAGGCGGCTGCTCTCCAGCAAGCAAGCCCCTGCCTGTTGTGTGACTCTGCCTGGCGCGACCGAAACAGGAGTGTTTGCAAGATGAAAATCCCGGGGGGGGTAGTGAGAGCGGCCCCGGGAGGCCCTGTCCTCGGCGGCTCCCCCTGACCCCAGGTCCAGCCGACGGCTCCTGCCCTGAGGCCACTTCCAGGCAGTTACGCGGGGAACACGAGAGCTGGTTTTACACGAAAGATTGGAAGAATCCACCAGCTTCTGAGACATCCCCCACCTTGAGACTTCCATTTTCTTTCACAGCTTCTAAAAAAGGCAGAAGCTGGGGTTGGGGGCTGTTCTCAGGAGCCCCCGGCCCTTGGGGCCCAACCCTCCCCTGTCATATGACGGTTCTGAGCTGCAGCTCTGCCGGCAGCTTCTTTTCCTTTCTATTTTTAAGACCTGAAAGTATAAGCCATTTCACTCTGGTTTTCTTCCTCTCTCTTGACTGGAAGTCACAAGCAGCACAGATGACCAGCAACAGCTGAATGTCTTCACGGTCCTTCGTCAGCCGCCTGCACGGCCCCAGAGGGACTCGCCTGAGCTTGCTGCGAAGGTGGGTTCAGGTCAAGCCTGACATTAGACGCAGCCTAAGAAAAGGACGAGCCAGCCAGGGAGGGAGGCAGAGAGAGAAAGGTGGAGCCAGACAGGTAGACAAAGGGGCTCGGATGGAAACTGTTCCTTCCAGAATCAGCCAATCCCTAGGCCAAAGATCTGGAACCTCTGACTGGAAGAGCCCCCTGAGCAAAAGCATAAAAGAGAAATGGAAGGAGAAAGAGAGAGGGAGGAGCCACACAGAGACCCGACGTGTGTTTACACTGCATGTCGTGGTGACAAGCTGCCCCCTTACATGTCAGCTCTGGAAACCCCAACAGTCCAAGGGAGAGAAGGAGGCGACCTCATTACTCATGTAGGAAAAGAAGGTTCTGCTGACTGACCCAAGATCCCACATCTAGTACAAGGAAGAGACCAGGCTCCCGAGGGTGGCTGTTCCCTCCGTGGGCCACAGGACGCTTCAGGGCTCTCCAGTGCCACAGAGCGGGGGGGAAGGGGGGGCCACATCAGCCCCAGAATGAGTGGACTCAGCACAGGGCCCCTGACTCCCAAGTCCATTCACCATCACCTCTGCCAGCTCCAGAGAAGCCCACACTCAGGCCGTCAGACGTCGCCCACTGTGGCGCAGGGCTAGTCCTGGTGCAGGCAGGAGTCCTCTGCTTCCCCCTGGAGCCGAGGCCCTCGGCGAATGGTCAGTTAGGTCATGAGGAGGTCCCAGATGGGCAGACTGCAGCCCTTGGACCTGTGTTTCTGCCCTGGACTTCTTGTTTTTTAAGAATTATTTATTTTTTCATTGTGGTAAGAGATACATAACATAAAAGTTATTAATTTTAACTGCTTTTAAGAGTGCAGTTTAATGGAATTCATCACCCACCACCACCCTGCATCTCCAGAGCTTTCTCATCTTTCCAAATGGAAACTCTGTCCCCGTGAAACACTAACTCCTGCAATCCTCTCAGCTCCCGGCCACCCCTGTTCTATTTTCTGTCTGTATGATCTGGCTATTCTGTGCTCCCCATCTGAGGGGATTCCTACAGTATGCGCAGGATTTCTGTGACTGGCTTATTTCATATAGGACAGTGCCTTCAAGGCCCATCGGAGGGGCGTCAGAACCTCCTTCCTTGTTAAGGCCGAATGCGATTCCGTGGCATGAACAGCCCACATTCTGTCTCCACTCGCCCACCCCTCGCGGCCAGGCTGCTGCCACCTTTCGGCCACTGTGGCTAGTGCAGCTGTGAGCTTGGGTGGGCAGGTCTGGCTTTCTCTTTTCTCCTTAAATTTGTCCCTTGCTCTTTGGTCCTGCTACAGGTTACTTGGGGGTGATGCACAAGTATTTACAGTCCTCATCCAACTCTGAAGCAAAGTTTAAAAAAAAAACAATCCTCTACTATCACCCAACATATTCATGTGCCAGGTGTTGGCAAGTCCTAGTTGGCACCTCTGCCCTTGGAGAGGATTTCCTAATCTTGGGGGACATGCTGGGGGTCCTAATGAACACAGGGAATGAGCTAAAGTTGACTTCACTGCCTTCAGGTCCTCACAGACAGACACGAAGCCCACACAGGCTTCCTCCAGAGAGCAGTGTGGGGGCTGCTGCTGAGCGCTCTTGGCCTCCCAGGAAACTAGCTGTCCCCAAGTTAATATCTAGTCTGGATGATTTCCAGAGCGTGGAGACTGGTCCAACATACTCCTGATTCATACAAGTAAAACACCTCCAGACCACAGCACACGTTTTTCCTTAAAGTGAAGTTTCCTCTGGTTATCTATCTCCCACCACAGCTATCTTTTCTTTTTTAAGATTTATTTATTTATTCATACAAGAGCTGGGGTACAGGGCAGAGGTGCTGGGGGGTGAGAGGATCCACCAGAGACAGAGTGGGGAACAGAACAGGCAGACTGACTGAAATACACTGCTGAGGGGAGCAGCGGGTGAGGCAGGAGAGGTCTGCTGTGCCATGTGGGTTACTCCCTGGCCAGGGATCGAACTCGTGCTGCAGAGGCTGCGGATTGCCTCATAGGTTGTGTATTTACCTTTGCACCACCAGGGAGGCCCCCCCCACCAAAGCTATCTTGAAGCCAAATACAATTTGTTAAAACGAACAAGGGTTGCACTTAAAACAACCAAAGATGCTCACCTGATTTTTTTTTAATCTTAAAATAATTTAAGGTGCGGGGGATCAGACCGCTGAGGACAATATTCATCCAACAATCGCTCTCCCTCCCCAACATTTTGTCTCTCTCCCCCCAGCCCCGGGCCCCATCTGCCTGGTGTTTGTCCCGCTGCCTGAGGCCAGGGCTTGGGCACTCACCAGCTGGGTGGGCAGGGCAGGGCGTGTGGCTCCGACCTCCCCAGGGGCGCGTGTGCTCCTCCAGCCCCGCAGCGCGTTCTCCTCCCAGCCAGTCAGGGGGCACCGAGGCTGAGGCACCGCAGGCCGTTAAGAATCACTTCATGACAAAGTTCCACTTCCTGGATGCTTGAATCACGTTCAGCTGCAAAGGTAGTTTTGCTTTGGGTTTGGAAAAAAAAAAAGAAAGGAAGAAAGCAGCCCCGCGCGGGAGCAGCTGCGAGGCCTGGCTTCAGCATGAGTCACCGAGTCGGAGCTCACACACCCCACGCAAAGGGAACTCGGCTTGGGGACAGGGCGGCAGGAGGGGCCCAGAGACCGCTGAGGCACCGCGCAAAGCCCCGCCTCCGGCCGAGAAGAGACCCCCCCTCACCAGGCCAGGTGCCCCAGGAGGGTCACGCGCAGGCACACCCGCAGGAATGAAGGCTGGGGAGGAGAAAAGCAGTGGCTGCATAGACAAGGCTGCGCGCAGGGCATGGGCGCTGAGGAGGGCCTGTCCTTCCACCACAGAGTCCCAAGAAAGCCACACAGTCCCCGAGGCTGGGCCCCCGGGCACTCGCCTCCACCAGGGGTGAGATGACCAGGGACTTCCTTCACGGCACCCCGCGTGGGGGAGGTGACTGCTTCTGCTTCACCGGCCTGGCCTCAGACCCGCCCCACCACAGCGTTCCGCAGTCTGGCCACCACCACGCAGTGTGGGCAACAGACCCCCAACTCTGGAGATGCCCATCACGGGTCAGGATCAGGGAAAACACAGTCGGAGCCCACAGCAGCCCACCTCCCAACCGTCACAACGCCTCTAAGGTGAGTGGCCGAGGACACCCCGCCAGCCAGGTGGAGGAGCTGAGCATAGAGCCGGGAGTGGGGGCTGAGGAACAAGAAGGACCCCAGTTGAGTGACACCTGCAGCTCTTCTTCATCCGTTCCCCACCTGCCTCCCACAGAAGATTAGAGGGACTCTGGACTATTAATACACATATAGGATAGGACCGGTGGAAAAAAATAAAAAGCCCAGTCAGAAGTCACTAGAGCAAAGTGAGCGTTGGACTCGAAACCTGGACCTCTGCAGCTCTTCTGCTGCACGCCGGTTCCAAGTTCAAATTGCCTGCACAGCGGATTTTCTCCTGACAACTGCCATTTGTTTGTCCAGTACTTTCCATCATAGCATCCTCGTCCCCACAGCTCTGCAGCAGAGGAATTATTATCCCCGTGTTTCAGATGAGGCCATGGGGGCTGAGAAGGTGTAACCAAACTGCTTCAAGCTTCAAACCCAAGGCCATCAGGGTTTGAAGATTTCAAAATATGAAACCACAAGGTAGGCTACTGATTCCCAATTGGACAAGAAATAAGTTCCGACAGAGGCAACAATTTATTGACAAGGTCACTGACCCAAAACTTAACTCTGCCAACAAGAGACTTGAGGGAGAGCAGCAGCTGCTCACGGCACATGTCCCCTGTTAGAAAGAGGAAAGAAGAGCCCAAAATGGGGTCGTTCGTGCTGTGCCCCCATCCAGACTTAATAACTCATCTCATCGCGGTTTCAACCTCTCTCAAAAGTATAATCCTAAACCAGGGGCAACCTAGTTCCAGACCCATGGTAAGAACCCCCTGCCTGACCCTGAGGGAAATGATTTCTCCTGCTAATAAGCTGATCCCATCCCCTTTTCTGCCATGAAGCCCCTGCCTGCTGCGTAGCCCCTTGCGGTGTCCAGTTGGATGCCACTGGATTCAGGAAGCATTGATAAAGTCAACTAGATCTCAAAATTTGCATATTTTGTTCTTAAACTCTGCCTATCTCTAAAAGCCAATCAAGGGCCTCCCTGGTGGTGCAAGGAGTTAAGACACAACCTACGAAGCTGTCCACAGCCATGCAGCACGAGGTCAATCCCCAGGCAGGGAGAAATCCACATGGTGCAGCAGACCTCTCCTGACTCGCCCACTGCTTCTCTCAGCAGTGTACTTTAGTACATCTGCCTGTTCTGTTCCCCACTCTGTCTCTGGTGAATCCTCTCACCTCTCACACCTCTGGCCTGTACCCCGGTTCTTATATGCATAAATAAATAACTCTTAAAAAATAAATAAAATAAAAGCCAATTGAGCGCTGAAGGAGAGCGGGACACAGGCCTGGCCACTTCTGTCTTCTACTCCCTTTAAAATTGGTCTTGAATCTGCCCAGAGGCTCTTTCTACCCACTCTGGCCCTTGTGGTGAGACAAGAGGTCTGTGCTTTTAGGAAGTGGCCCAAAAGTGTCAAGACAGTGGGTCCTACACTTGTGGGTACAGCCCTCCCCAGGGAGGTGCCGCGAACACGGAGACAGGGGACATTTCTGCTGTCCCAGTGGTTCATGGAACCCAAGTCAGGGCCCCTAGCTGGCTGTCCCCTCTGTCCACGGCACCAGCGAGCACACAGTGAGCTCAAGCAGAGAGGAGGCATTTGTCGTGGTCGATGCGCGAGTGTCCAGCCCTGCTGGGGAGCTCCCCTGCTCCCCCTGGGCTCTGCCAGCCGAGCTCCTGCCCACCCTCCCCACCATGTGGGGGCAGGGGCGAGACATCTTGCCCTTTGCCAGTCTGATGCGTGAGAAATGGCGCATCATTCCTCATGCTTATTCTAACTTTCTTCTCCCTGATGACTGTGAACTTGAGCATCTTTTCACTATTTATGGACCATGCAGGTTTCTTCTCTCCACCCACCCCAGCGCCAATTTTCGCCTTGGGTTGTCCTTTTCCTATGAGTTATATTAAAACTGACATAATCTTCATAGCTTTACCTTTTGGGTAGGCTGTCACTTTCCGCTCCCAGTCTAACTCGTGACTGTTAACTTCGTGATGTCAGGAGACCTGTGTGTCTTCCGCTTGTGTAGTCAAACCTATTGCACTTGTCCTTTCTCATCTGTGCTGTGAGAAATCCTTCCCTCTCCTGAGATTGCAGATATTTTCCTATATTTTCTCTAAAGGTGTAAATTTTCACTTTTTATAATCAGGTCTTTAATCACAATCCGGTATTGATTTTGGTGAAGGAGGCGAGAAAGGATCTAAGCTTACTGAGATGGCCACTTGGAAAGCTGCCGCTCTCCTGCCCGCCTGGGGCCATGCAGGGGCCTCCCTTTTTCTGCTTTTCCTCTTTCTCTGCTGTCCTTTCAAAATGGCCCGTTCGGAGTCATGAACTCAGCCAGCCAGCCTGCCATTTATTCACTGCGCCACCTTGAGCAAATTATTTAACCGCTCTGTGCCTCCACTTGCTCACGTGTGAAATAAGGATGATGGCGTCTCTCTCACAAGGACAGCTGGAGAATGAATGAGCGCATGGGAGGTCTTAGAACGGTGCCTGACAAGTGTTAAGTGCCCGGTAAATAGTCTATTTAGTATGAGCACAAAGTTAGTGAAGATGGATCACCAGAAGTTATTCTGGCAAAGTCTAGAGCCCAGAGAACACTGCAGCATTGTCAGAGGACTGAGGGACCAGGGAAACCACTCTCTGGGTCAGTAGGAAAGTATAAATTTTGGTGAAGGAGTAGTAGTAGAGGAGTGTACCCCCAAAACACACAGAGAAAAGGGGGAAGCAACGGTCACGGGTCTATGGGTGAGCCCATGATCTAATCACAGGAGTTACTGGCTGAGCCCAATAAACCAATGTATTAAAACAATTGTGCATTTAAAACTGTTTTAATTTATTTAATAGAACATACGTGTCACTTCCTTTTAGTTGCCCCTAAGATGTTATCTTAACTGAGGAGGTCAAGGCAATAAAAGTTCTTTTCAGTACATTTTCAATTTCATGTTAACCATGAAACAGGATGAAGACATAAGCACCAACTCAAGTTTCTGCCCCTGAATAAGTGGATGGTAAACAAATAGTCCTGGTCACAAGGCAAATGTCAGACTCAAGCGGAGCCTAACCTTTGCTATTGGCATTGCGGACTTTGAGTTCTTTGCCCTGGGGCTAGTCCTGCGCGTCGTAGGATCCCTGGCCTCTACCCTGGAAATACCAGTAGCACGATGCCCCAGAGTTCTCAATGTCAAGTGTTCCCCTAGGGGCAAAGTCACCCCTGATTGAGAACCACTGGGCTGAGAGGGTCATCAGAGAGGAAGTGACATCTCTGCCCAAAGAGGGGGAGGAGAGTGCGTGGAGGAACTGATGGCTTGGTTGACTTTAGCAGCAGCAGCAGCAGCAGCAGTAGTAGTAGTAGTAGTAGTAGTAGTAGAAGTGGTAGTAATAGCAGTAGTAGTTGTGGTGGTAGTAGTAGTAGTAGTAGTAGAGGTGGTATTAGTAGTAGCAGCAGCAGCAGTAATAGTAGAGGTAGTAGTAGTGGTGGTGGTGGTAGTAGTAATGGTAGAAGTAGTGGTGGTGGTAGTAGCAGTAGTAGTAGCAGTAGTAGTAGAGGTAGTAGTAGTAGTTAGTGGAGGTGGTAGTAGTAGTAGTGGTAGTGGTAATAGTAGTATTTAGAAATTCAAGGCTTACTTTATGTGGATAAGCTTTCTCCCCCTTGAAAAGGCAATGTGACCCCAGACTTGAACTCTTGGTGAACAGTAATCACATCCCTGAGACACACACGACCCCACTCCATCTGACAAACACGCCATATTAAGTGTAATTCCCATTTTATTTTTTCCAGAGGACAGTTTTTCTTCAGTCCTTAAGGACTCAGCTCCTTGGCAGGGGCATCCACGGAGGTGGTGGGGCAGCTCCCACAAGTCTAGAGGGAGTGGGGTATGGGTCCCTGGGGTGCAGGTCCCTGGGGTGGTCACCAGAGCCTGTGCCCTGTGCCCCGTGAGGTAACAGCACTGCCACGGAGCGGGGCGTCTCACCCCTGGGAGGCACCCGAGCATCCAGACACTCCCTGAGGAGCTGTCCTGTCGCCCTGGCCGCCCTGTGCCCAAGGACCACTCGGTCACAGCCCCCACCCGCCTGGGTGCTGGGGCAGTGGCCAGAGAACAGGCTGCCCGGGGACACGGCAGCCTTTGAGCACGACCGCTAACCCTTGGAAGCGAGGAGGGG